CTGCTGGCTTTGAAGATGGCAGATGCGGCCACCAGACAAGGAATGCAGTGGCCTCTAGAAGGTGGAAGAGGCAGGGAAACTGATCCCCCTAGAACCTCTAGAAGGACCACAGCTCTGCAGACACCTGGATAGGACTTCTGATATCCTGAACTGTAAGATAACAAATGTGTGTTGTTTTAAGCCACTGAGTTTATGGTAATTTGTTATAGCAGTAAAAGGAAACTGATACACCCTCCCAACCCTTAATTCCTCATATCTTGCTCTGTTTTTTCCTATAATACTTACCCTTTCTAACATACCATACAATTTACTTATTACATCTGTTATTTATTGTCTGTCTCTATCTGCTAGAATGTAAGCTCCACAGAGCATGGATTTTTTCTTTTTGTCTGTTTTGTCTACGCTCTACCCCCAGCTCCTAGAACAGTTCTTGGCACATAGTAGGTACTCAATAAACATGCATTGAATGACTGAATGAATGGGGTAGGACAGAAACAAAGATGGCTGTGACATTTCTTTCCTGGAAGACTGTAGGTTTCTGTACCATTAAAAAAATTAACATCTCCCTCCCCCGCATTTTGTATTAGTAATAAATGATTCAAAGGTACGAAAGGATACAGAATGGAAAGTGAGCTCCCACCCTTGTTTTCCCCTAAATCAATTTCCCTCCTCAGTGGCAATCAGTAATTCCAGTTTCTTATGTATCTTTCCATATGTCTTTTTACGTACAAAGATATATCCATATAAATTTGTTAGTATATGTATTTTTTGTTTTTGCACAAATGGCACTGTACCATATATGTCATTTTGCACCTTCTGGTACCTCTTAATTTATCATCTGGGCTGGATTGCACCTAGACACAGGATGGGTGAAATGGGACAGATATAGTATGGGACTATACATATAATAACTCCATATTATAGCTTGGGATCACCAATTTTTCTCTTTGGTGTTTGGGGGACAAAATAGGCCACCCCTTAGAAATCACCTTCCCATGCTGGACAATGAGGAGGATTTCCCCAGAGGCCTCGGGCTCTTCCAGCAGGGTGTTATTTAAAACAGGCGCATGGGCTGGCCCGTAGCTCACTTGGGAGAGCGTGGTGCTGACAACACCAAGTCAAGGGTTAAGATCCCCTTACTGGTCTTTAAAAAAAAAAATAAAATAAAATAAAAATAAAACAGGCACATACATGGCCTGCATCAGGAAGGAATGTCATAGTACTCCTCTAGGTATGGCTTGGGTCTGGCCCTCAATCTTGGCTATTAGAATCACCTAGGGAGCTTTTCAAACATTTACCCTGAGTCCTGGACCTCCACCGTGGAACAACTGAATCAAAATCTCTGTTGGGGCCGGCCCGGTGGCGCACTGCTACAGTGCGCCGCTTGGGAGTGTGGTGGCGCTCCCGCCGAGGGTTCGGATCCCACATACAGACCGGTTCCCGCTCACTGGCTGAGCGAGGTGTGGGAGCAACACCGAGGGTTGCGATCCCGTTGCCGGTCCCGGTCCGGTACGGGCACGACACTGAGGGTTGCGATCTGTTGCCGGACACGAAAAAAGACAAAAAGGAAAAAAAAAAATCTCTGTTGATGGAACCTGGGCCTCAGTAGAGTTTGTAAAGCTCCCCAGGTAACTCTCATGTGCAGCCTGTGCAGTTAAGATATAACACATGGAGGAAAAGCTTGGGACTGGGAACCTGCAGATGTGGTGTCCTGCTTTAAGCTTCCAGCTCTGTGACCTTGGACAAGTCACGTGATCTCTGGAACCTTGGTGTCCACCTCTCTGAGCCGGAGCCAATAATACCACTGCCTTGCATACCTCACAGGATTGTAATGCGGATCAAATGTGTAAGCGCCCTGGGAACTGTGAGAAGTTGTCTAATGGGAGGGGTAAATGTATCAGGTGCATCGGCTCGGGTTACTCTGGGCAGCTTGACTCAGCTGCAAGTACAGCTCAGGCTCTGCCAGGGACTTTCCAAATTACAGGGGGTCCACATCCTGTGATTGCTGGGGTCAGTCTATTCCCGTGCCTATCTGCTCCCCATACCACCACTGGCAGCAGAGCCATCAGTCTCTCCTTTTTAGGGGCCCAGAAAAACTGGATTTCTCCTGACTAAATTACAGTGATTGCTAGCCAGGGTGGCACAACCCTCTAGGGAGGCTCATCCGGTACCTGTGTGGTTTGAGAAAGTACTAGGGCTGGTTGCTTGGCTCAGTTGGCTAGAGCGGGGTGTTGTTGTAACACTAAAGTCAAGGGTTTGGATCCCCATACCATCCAGCTGCAAAAAAAAAAAGAAAAAAAAGACATGATTACATTAAATATTTTGGCTGTATATTTGAAAAATGGTAGGTAGGGGCGGGGCAAGAAAACTACCCTCATTCTTCCCTGAAACAAATCTCAGAAAGTAAAGCTCAACTATCTCACCCCAAAGATTCATCTCCCTGCAGACCACTGCAAAGGTTGGGGGTGGAACGACAAAATGGGTGTTAGAGAACGGAAAGGAACATGAGGCTAGTGAGTGTTATGTTTATTCAGGGAAGGGAGGTTTTAAAAGGGTGAGAAACACCTCCCTAGAGCCCCTTGCTCCCCTAGAATGTTTTCCTGCAGGTAGAAGAACCCAGGAAGCCAGACAGCAGGGCCTGGCCTGCAGAAGCCCCCAGCTGAGCTCTTGGGTAACTCCTGCTCAGACCTTGCTCAGGAGCCACCCGGGCTCTGTTCCCTTCTGCTCCTGACACACCTTCTCTCAGGGTCCCACACTAATGAAGAGGTCTACCTTGTCCCTCTGTGGCTTCCTGTTCTGGCATTGTCCTCTAGCCCTCACAGGAAAAAAAGGCCTTGGACAGTGCTGTCTTTAGCTTTTCTCCTCCAAGGACCTCCACATTTTTAGATTGCAGCATAAATACACCACATTTCTAAAAAACTGTTTTCCTTTTTAGCGGGAGATTTATCGTCATAGGATTGTCATGTCACCTTGTCACTTTCCTGACTCTCCCACTACCTGTCCCTTTTGCCTACTCCTGGCCTATAACACTCATCATCTTCTAACATGCTGTATAATTTGCTTGTTTATTATGTTTATCGTTTATTTTCTGTTTCCCATCACCAGAATATAAACCCCATGAGGATAGGGATTTTGCCTGTTTTGTATCCCTAGTACCTACCGGAGGGGCTGGTCATACTAGGTATTTGTTGAACTTTGACCTTTAGGCTGTGATCTTCATGAGGTAGAGGCAACACCTATTTTATTCACCATGTAATACTCAAGTGTCTGATGTGATGTAGCATACCATTTCTAAGAATTTATCCTATAGATTTGCTCACATGATGCAAGTATGCACGTGGATATTAATTGCAGCATTTTTGCAAAAACAAAACTACTGGAGACCAAGACATCCATCACTAGAAGACCTGGGTTAAGTAAATTTGTATCCACACAGTGGAGTACTAGGCAGCTATTAAAACAAATGAAGTAGGGTGTACGCATACTGATTCAGAAAGGTGTTCAAGATACATCTTTAAACAAAGAAAGCAGAATTTAAGAAATCAAAGTGTAGAACTGTCTAATCCTACGTATATAAAACAAAATGAAATGTGTTTGTATATGTCCAGTTTTAAAAAGTACTGGGCCGAGCCCATGGCGCACTCGGGAGAGTGCAGCGCTGGGAGCACAGCAGCGCTCCCACCGTGGGTTCGGATCCTATATAGGGATGACTGGTGCGCTCACAGTGCTCACTGGCTGAGCGCGGTGCCGCCGGTCTCAAAAAGGACAAAATAAATAAATAAATAAATAAATAAAAAGTACTTAACGGTGGTTACCTCTTGGGAGTGGAGATGGGAGATTTTAAATTCTTTTTTTTTCTTTTGGATTTTGTGCATGTTACTCTTCTACTTTTTCAAGTTAAAAAAAATAAATTATCCTCCCAATCAGAGCATATTAGTTTTAGACATCCATTGTTTTCACTGCTACATGACACAATTCCAATAAAAAGCACAGAATGCGGCTGGCCTGTTAGCTCAATTGGCAGAGTATGGTGCTATTAACACCAAGGTCAAGCGTTTAGATCCCCTTACCAGCCAGCTGCCAGGAAAAAAAAAAAAAGCACAGAACGGTGACATTTCAGTTAGCTTTAAGATGCCCATTCTTGGGCTGGCCCGGTGGCGCGCTCGGTAGAATGCGGTGCTTGGGAGTGCAGCGGCGCTCCCGCCGAGGGTTCGGATCCCATATAGAGACTGGTCCGCTCACTGGTTGAGCGCGGTGCGGGCACGACACCGAGGGTTGCCGGTCGCGGTATGGGCATGACACCGAGGGTTGCGATCCCGTTATCGGTCACAAAAAAAGACAAAAAGAAAAAAAAAAAAAGATGCCCATTCTTACCTATGGGGATGCTTACTCAGGGACACCATTTACCTAGATGGGAACCACTGGTGTAGAAGCTTCCTTCATCTTCAATGATCACATTTACCCCAATCCTAGCCAGACCTCTAGCATCCAAAAAATCATATACCCATAGGTCTGGGGGATGAGTGTAGGGGGGATGAGTGTAGGGTGGGATGGAAGTGGGGGCTGGGGTGCAAAGCCCTGGGCAGTGGGCCAAAGATGCAGAATGGCAGATCAGGGGCGGGGGCGGGGGCGGGGGGGATGACAGTTGTACACTCTGGCCCTGCTCTTCCTCTCTCCTCTGTCCTTGACCCCACTTCCTCCTCTGGCCCAGATTTCTGCTAATGAGCAAGTGCTTTAATGATCAGGGGCCTTAAGGTCACCAGGTCTCTTCAAGGCAAGATTCCACAATCTTATTATTTCTCCACTGCAGTGGCCCATCATATCTACCACTCCCTCTTCTTTCTCTGAGGAGTTTCCAAGAACCCAGACCCCTCCTCTGTCCACTCCCCAACCCATATGAAATTGCTGGGGTCAGAGGTGATTTCTTCCTGATCAGAGATGGGACTGCTGGGTCATAGCATTTGCACACAAATATGAAAACAGCCAAGAAAGACACAAAGTGATGTCCAATGACTTCTGAACTTTTATTGGCCTTCTGTTCCCCAAAAGGTACCCTGCTTCTGTTGCCTCAGTGCCTCAGAACTTTGGTGTCACTGGTCTCAGACACCACTTTGCCATCCACCATCCTGCGGGTGGTGGTCTTTTGGATGGTTTGCATCAAGTTGCCGCTATCGAGGGCGTCAGTGAGACTGTAACAGAACACCAAACTCCAGTTATGAACAGCCCCACAGAGTAGAAGGGAGACAAAAAAGGTGGAGGAAAAAGGCTCCCAACCCCTACCTTTATCTCCAAATTCCCCTCAGCCACTTCCTCCAGAATAGGGAAACCCAAGGGTGAATTTCATTTGTACCCTAAGTACAGCTAGGGGCAATACTTAGTCTGTTCTCTTCTCATGGGAGAAAACCTCTGTAATTGCTACTCCCTTGAAGACACAGGGGCAACCACAGAGCACCATCCTAGGCTCTGGGGAGAGGAAGTGATTTTTTTTTGGCTTTTGGCGGCTGGCCCGTATGGGGATCCGAACCCTTGACTTTGGTGTTATAACACCACACTCTAACCAACGGAGCAACTGGCCAGACTGCTTTCTTGACCCCAGCTTGTGTGGGTAGGAAAGCCCATTCACCTGAAGTCCTCCCCGTCTTCCAGCAGGCGGCGGTAGGTAGCGATCTCAGCCTCCAGCTTGACCTTGATGTTCAGCAGTGCTTCGTACTCCTGGGCCTGGCGCTGTCCCTCTGCCCGGGTCTGTGCCAGCTCTGACTCCAAGTGCAGCAGGACCCCATTGAGCTGCTCTATCTGCATGGCATAGCGGTTCTCCACCTCCCTCAGACTGTTCTCCAAACTGGCCTTCTGCAGGGGCACAGGGAGAAGGGTCGGGGAGAGTCCAGGGTCCCAGGACTGCTGCTCACTTCTTCAAACTCTGAAACTTTTTTGAGCACCTCTTACGTGCCATGCACTAGGATAGGGGGTATGAGCAGTAGGAAATGCAAAGAGAAAGGACTCTTTCTAAGGTAAGGGAACTCATGATGGGAGGGGTAAGATTTGGGCTGAGACAGAGTAGGGTCTGAGACTAGCCGACAGAAGTCAAGGGTCCAGAGGAGCTGGGGCAAGTGACGGGAGGGTACTTACCAGATTTCTCAATGAGTCCAGGTCGATCTCCAAGGACTGGACAGTACGCCTCAGCTCTTTAAGCCTCATTTCAGCATCTCCAATCTCAGCAGACTGCGAGGTGATCACTATGGTGTGCTCCTCAATCTATGGCATGGGTATTGTCCATCAGGCCCCTCTTTCCCTATCTGCCTCCCTCCCACACCCTGGCAGTATCCCTTCCCCTTGTGTACCAGCGTGGTCCAGTACTTGTCCAGTTCCTCTCGGTTCTTCTGAGCCAGTTGTTCATACTGGGCCCGGATGTCTGCCAAGATCTTGTTGAGGTCTTGAGATTGGGGGGCATCTACTTCCACGGTCAACCCAGAGTTGGCAATCTGGGCTTGTAGGCCTTTTACTTCCTAAAGGAGACAGGGCAAAAGTGAGGAGGGCTCAGGGTCAGATCTTCAACAAGGCCCTTCATCTGTGATTGCCTCTCCTACGAGACCTACAGGAGTAGTTAGAGAAGAGACCAGGGGAAACTTTTGGCTTACACTCTGGGCAATGCCAATTCTGGGCTTTCTATTCTGGATGGGTAGAAATGCCATCCACTTACTGCCTGTGCTTGTAACTCACAGGCCTCTCTCCTTACTGTCCCATCATTTACCACCTTCCACAAACCTGCTCCTTATACCTTCTTCCAGGAGCCTTTCCAGCTCTACCTGCTTTCACTACTCCATCACCCCCAGCTCCTCATGGTAGCTGCTTCTACCTTGATCCTCATCTCACTTTCACCCATGTTATCTTGACCTCATCACACTGTAATTCAGGTGAGCCACAGTGTAACATGGCCCACTGCATATGCACATCATCAGACCAGTCAGATTAAGAACAGCCCAGGCTGGTAGTTCTAAGCTTCCCTGCAAGGCTACTTGCAGGTGGCCTGCCCTGTCTACTCTCCCACCCAGACTTCTCTTGGTCCCCTTGGTCCCTGGATGATCCGGTGGCCCCTGCTTGCCTCTTCATGGTTCTTCTTCATGAAGAGCAGCTCCTCCTTGAGAGCCTCAATCTCTGTCTCTAGCTGCAGCCGGGTGACATTGGTGTCATCAATGACCTTGCGGAGCCCATGGATGTCGCTCTCCACAGACTGGCGCATGGCCAGCTCTGTCTCATACCTGTGGGAGTGGAGGTGGTCAGGAGGGTCCCCATCTCTCAACCCACACCACCTCCTAAGAGCAGCCCTGAGTCAGCTATCAGGCAGTAATCCCTTGAGCACCATTCTCGGCACTTGGGGGGCAGTATTCTTAAATTTGGTTACATGACATCAAGGTCAAGGAATTGATTCCCCATACTGGCCAGCTGAGAAAAACCAAAAAAACCAAAAAACAAAACAAAATAAAAAATTGGGTTATACGAGTGAGTAGTTAAATAAATAAATTGATGGATCCTAACTCTCATCTACCGAGCTCCACCCACACCTGAACAAGATCCCACTGTGAGCCCCCCTACCTGACCCAGCCCAGAGCAGAACATTCTTAGCTCCACCCCTGGCCTCCTACTCCCTCAGTTCCCCAGACTTACTTGACTTTAAAGTCATCAGCAGCAAGACGGGCATTGTCAATCTGGAGAACGATGCGGGCATTGTCCACGGAATTTGCAAAGATCTGGTGGGATTGTAGAGAGAGATTGCCCCATGAATGGAAAAGTCAATAATGGGTGGGCTGAGTGTGTGGAAGGAGTTAGGTGTTTCAGTGAAAACTTTCCAGTCCTGGGAATAGCCAGAGGCTGTCCCTGTATACCTCTCCCTTTCCACCTGTACCCACTCCCCTAACACACACACTGTTCCCTCCTTTTCTGGGCTCCGGAATCCCAGCACTCTGCCCTCCTGCCCGGCCTTCAGCTGGCTGGCTGGCCTGCCAAGAAGTGAGTGGTTACCCAAAAGTCCTCTCCCTGGCCCTCACCTGGCAGTTTTTCCTAGTGCACCTGCTCACCCCCTGCTCTGGCCCCCCCACCCCCTGGATTGGCCCCTCCCACATGTAGGCCACCTGTTCACTCCTAGATGACTCAGCCTTAGCCACATCCGCTTAACCCTGCAATTGTCTCCACTGGGCCACTTTCTGAGCCTTTTCTCATCTCTTTCCATGCTGTACACTTCCTCTGCAAAGCTCTCATCCCTGTCCCCCTTCCCACTGTCTCCTGGGGAAGCCCCCGCCATGCCTAGCTACTACCCTTGGGGTTCCTGTGGCCAGGATGTGCATGGAAGTTCGCAGCATTCCTAATCCCCTCGTGGTGGGCTGGGAAGGGGTGGGGGGAACATAGAAAGGGGAAGAGTTCGGGCACCCCACCCTATTAAAGTTCTTGTCTTTGGGGAAAAAGAGGTAAGAGAATGCATACCGGTGGGTCAAACACGGCTGGGAGTTGGGGCCCCTCCCTCCACGCCCCTTACCTGAGCAAAATAGCATTCTCTTGAGAAGAAGACAGAATTAGAAGAATGGAGATTGGTACTTGCTCAACACAGTCAAAAAAGCAATTGGTAGATGTTTCTGATCTTCCCCTGACTGTGAAAAGTACTGAAATTAAGAAATTGTCAGGGAACTTAAACAAACCAAACAAAACTAGCACCAGGCATAACTTTAACTTCCAAAGGACACATTGTGCTATTAATTTTTAGTGACCTTTACAAAGTTCATCAAAAAATGCTCTCACTAAATCTATTTCTGTAGAAATAAAGAAATATTAGTGGTGTGCAAACGGCCCCTTCTTCTCCAGGTGTTCCCGGATTTTGCTATCCAGCTTCCGATTTTCACTCTCCAGCCTCCTCACTTTGTCCAGGTAGGAGGCCAGGCGGTCGTTCAGGTCTTGCATGGTCTCCTTCTCGCCCTGGATGTTCCCTATTCCCGCCATCCCCCCAGCCATCCCCGCGGCCAAGCTCCCAGACCCCCAGCCGCTCCGGAAGTTGGTGGAGCGGGACACGGAGATGCGGGAGCCCGAGCCCCCGGCGCCTGCATAGACGCTGGCCGCGCTGCTGGCCGGCCGGGCCCGGTGGCCGGACGCCTGGACGGAGCCCAGGGACCGGTAGCTGGTGGAGAAGGTGCTGGAGCGGGTGGAGAAGCTCATGCTGTCCGGGGAGGAAGGCGAGAGGCCAGACTCAGGCTCGGACCGCGGGAAGTTCCAAGGTACAAGATTTTTTAATTTTTATTTTTAATTATTAGCATTTCTTTCTTTTTTCTTTTTTTTTTCCTTTTTGTGACCGGCAAGGGGATCGCAACCCTTGGCTTGGTGTCACCCGCACCGCGCTCAGCCAGGGAGCGCACCGGATCCGAACCCGCCAGGAGCGCCGCTGAGCACCCAGCCGCACTCTCCCGAGCGAGCCGCGATTACACCCCCAGCCATCCCCGCGGCCAAGCTCCCAAACCCCCAGCCGCTCCGGAAGTTGGTGAGCAGGACACGGAGATGCGGGAGCCCGAGCCCCTGGCGCCTGCATAGACACTGGCCGCGCTGCTGGCCGGCAGGGCCCGGTGGCCGGACGCCTGGACGGAGCCCAGGGACCGGTAGCTGGTGGAGAAGGTGCTGGAGCGGGTGGAGAAGCTCATGCTGTCCGGGGAGGAAGGCGAGAGGTCAGACTCAGGCTCGGACCGCGGGAAGGTGGCGGCGGGTCCGCGACTCACGTTTTATCGCGGAGGGAGGCCCCGCCCCCGCCACCGAGCCGCCTGGGAGGCCGGGGCCACCGGTGGACCGCCGCGGGGGCGTCCGCGCCCTCGGTTCCCGACTTTCCCGACCCCCTCCCCCCAACCCCGCGCCTGGCGCCGCCCTGCCAAGGCCACCCTCACCCCCCAGAAGGGGCTGACTTAACCCTTAACCGGGACCGACTAGGGCAGCAGGTGTTGGCCCTGAGACAGGGTTTCAGGGCAGGAAATGACGTTATTATGTCCCTCCACCAGGTAGAGGAGGTGTTGGCGGGTTGGAAAATTGGAGTGGTGTACGGATGGAGTGGAGTGTGAGTCTCTCTAGCTGTCCTCAGTCTGCAGCCCAAGTTCCTCACCTGCAGAGGGGATCTTGGGGGGATCGTGGAGCCCCAGGAGTCCTGAGGAAGAAAAGTTGGGAGCTGGAGAAGAGGAAGAGAAACTCAGTCCTAAACCTCATATCTGCTGGTTTACACACTCGCACCCGCACCACACTTGATTCCCCAAACTCCCACCTGCACATGTTCACTGGCATCCACTCATTCCCAGGTCATACAGATTCTCAAACACACACAGACACATTCACTCACCAAGTAGGTTCAGACTCCAGAAGGCAAACTCAGTCTCTGAACTCCCTCCCTCCACAAACTCCAAAGAGGCTTGATCTCAGTGGAACACCTGTGATTTGGACAGGGGACACATCCTCACTTCTGCACACTTGTATATCAGTCTTACCTACATCCTTGGGTAAACAAATACCTTCTGAGCACTTACAATTCAACAAATATTTATTGGGCACCTACTGTGCGCCAGGCCCTGTTCTAGAAGCTGGGAGAACAGCAATGAACAAAATAGACCAAAATTTCTCATGGAGATTGTAATGTGTCCCACATGGTATGGGCCTGAGAAGACAGACAAGCACACACACCTAGAAACAGTCTAGCTGAGACTCAGCCCTGGCTGTCAGTCTCCTCCCCCTTCTTAGTAGGACTTTCTTCCAGCCAAAGCTCCTTACCCCCCTGCTTCCCTGCCCCTCTTCTAGGTTCTCTGGAACTCAAGCCTGTCCCCAGCGGGCTGCCTCCTCCAGGGTGAGAAGGATAGAGGTAGGGAAGCTCCTGTGCTCCCTGCCCCACGGCTGAATGGACTGGGGGAATCCGTCCCCTCCCCAAGGGGATGGGCCTTCAAGTATCTCAGCACCAGCAGCTTGTTTTTCTGGCAGGGCCTGACTCTTTGCTCTGGAATGGACCTGTTGATTCTTATCGAGCTTCTAGCTGAAATGACAAGGTGAGGGCAGACAGGAGAGGAGGCCTGGGAGGGGAAGGGGCCATGGAAGTAGCCTGGCCAGTGGACCAGCCAAGTGGGAGGTGCAGCTCAGATGCAGGGCTTGACCCTGGATTGTTCCAGGCCTGCTACTTTTTGGTGGGGAAAGCCCTACGGTACTCAATGGGAGCTGGCCAGGGGAGAGTCAGGGCCTGCTGAAAGCTGGGAGGCAAATGGAATGCAAAATAACACTCAAATGAATGCCCACTGGTTTTGCATGGAAGACTTCTGGGAGGTTCCAAGTGCCAGCCAGTCAAAGGGGTTTCTCCTGCTTTCATCTTCGCATTCCCCCAACCCCCGGGCTCCAGAATTGTCATGTCATGCAGTAATGTGCAATAAAGCACATGGATTAAATGTGCGATGTGCTGCCTTTTGCTGTTAAGCTTTAAGTCAACCAACTTGAGCACTTTGTTAGCTTTGGGGAAGTCATTTAACTCTGAACTTCAGTTTCTTCACTTATACAGGGAGAATGATACAGCCTGTCCACTCTGTCTCCTCGGGTGGCAGTGAATGTGAATGTGAATGTGAATGTGAATTATCACCACTCATTCATTGAACAAATCACTTACTGCAGAGTAAGGCTCCAACTCACCCAGGAGAGCAGAGGTCAATTTAATTCTAAAGATGGCTCAAGGGATATGAAGTCTCTTTAGAGGTTTAGATCACTTAAGACCCCTGGAGGACTTTGAATCTTACCAGCAATCAGACTAGATCCCAGGGTTCTTATCTAAGCTCTTTCCCAGACCCTTCTCTGATCCCTGCCCCACCCCAACTGCTGGGGACCTTCAGGGGCCTGTGGAGTCTCAGCCCCTGGCTAGCGGGGGAGAGCTGCCAGCTGGGTCTCATCTCCCATAGCTGATGTCGATGGCTGCATTCCTGACCTCTTGCAGCATCGGGCAAATACTGACCTCAGGCTTCCAGCACCAGTGTGCCCTTTACTACCTCTTCCAGATTCTTCTGCGCCTCAGGGCCTTTTAAGCCTGTCTGAGAGCCTTTGGGAAAGCTGGGGAAATGGGTGTGAGGGAGTGGTTTCAGCCCCCACATTCCTAGCACTGGGCCTCTGGGATGGGGGTGGGAGGCAAGGTAGAAAGGGGAATGGGGTGATTGTGAGGCCCGTCTGGGAGAGGGTGGAGCCAGAGGGGCCCTGTGAGAATCTCCAAGAACAAAGAGTAAAGAACTTAAGCAGAGGGAGGTCCGGAAGGAGGGGATATGGTCTCCCAGCCCCCAAGTCTTGCATTCCTGTGTCCTGCTGACCGGGAGTGGCAACCTGCCAGGCAGGTTTAACTCTAGAGTAAATGCAGAGATAACTCCTGATAAGCGTGGGTCAGCTCTTCCTGCCCCCTCCACATTCTCCCTTATAGGGCTGTAGCCGACAGCTCTGGAGAAACAAGATGGTGGGGAGATTAGAGGATTAGGGGGGATTAGGAGGCCTGGGGTACTTCAGGCTCTGCTTTATCATTTAGGCTGGAAATTTCTTGCCCAGTCCTGAGTAGGGAGGTTTTCAGAATAACCAAGATGTGAGGGTGGGGGTCTGCAGACCAAATGGCAAATTCCCATCCTCTTCTTGAAGGATCGAGAGTGATTCCTGCGTTGGAGTGGAGAGTGAGGGGACCACCTATGAGGCTCCTCTCAAGGAGGGCCCAGCATGCTTGCCAGTGGGCCTCCCACTGGAGGATCCAAGGGCTTCAGAGTCAGGGGCGGAGCCTTTAGACAAAGGGAGGGGTGGGTGGAACTCAAAGGAAAAGGAGTCTGGGACTGAACGGGACTCCCTCCTGCTGAGCCCTGCCTCAAGCATGTAGGAGGAGCTCTGTAAATAATTTATGTTTAAATAATTAATGAAAAGGGGGTACTAGGAGAGGTGGGGGGCGCCAAAAAGTGCAGTTGGGTAGACCAAGGAGAGACAGGAGAGGTAGGGGAAAGGCACGGGCTTCAGAGGCAGCTGTGGAGCAGGGGCGTGATGGGGGCTGCAGGTGGGTTGGGTGCAGGACGCAGCCTGAATTTCAAGACTTGGGGAATTTCCCTGGAGGTACCCCTGCCCCATTCGGAGGCCCTGGCACTGCCTCTCAAGTGTGGAGTGGGGAAAGGGTTCTGAGGGCCAGAGCCAGGCGCTGTCCCCCAAGGGTGGGATAGTCAAAGACTGCACTGACACTTTTAGTGTCATTGCTTCAGTTGGGTTTGTACACAATAGGGGTTAGTCCTTGGGGATAAAGAGAGAGGAAGAGTCAACACTGAGAAACACATGACTGCCCAGGAATCTCCAGGTGCTGAAGCTCAGAGAGGGTTCTAGGGAACTCACCCCTTCTTCATCTCTCCGGCTCCCTGGTCCCCACTCCGGCCTCTTCTGGCAGAGCCAGTTCTCACCCACCAGGAATGGCCTCACCTGTTCTTATGTCCTCTTCCCCTTCTGACCCTAGTGCTCCTTGTCTCTCCTCAGATGCAGTCCCCAAATCCCAATGCTGTCCCCCAGCCTATGACCTCACTCGAGTCTGCCCAGAGATGGACGGGGCACAGGGATGAACATGGTACTTGGTGTCAAAGGACCTGGATTCAAGGTTCCACCACTGGCTGCATGATCTTGAGCAACGTTTACTAGCCTTGGTCTCCTCAGCTGTAGCATAGGATAATAGTAATATCTACTTAGAGAGTTTTCATGAAGATCAAATGAGACAATCTGCCTGGAAGAGCTTTGGCAACTCAGCAGCCAGTCAATCGATTTCCTCTCTACTCCTGTTCTTCCCTGCCTCCTATTCCTTTTGCTGTCACTACCCTGTAGCCTTCCATTTCCTGCTCATCACTCTTTCCTTTCAACCTGGCACAGGGTGTGGGTGGTGAAGACAGAGTTTATGGGAAAGGGGGTGGGTAGAATGGAAGAGTAGAGTGGTTGAGAACCTACCTCCAAATCATCCAGTCAACTGGCCATGTCTTTGTCTGTCTGTCTGTCTGCCTGGCTTAGACTTGGCAGATCTGCCAGTAGTGTCTGGTGGAACTGTCCTGTGAGTAGGTAGAAAAGCAAAGCTGTAGGTTGGGAGAGGCAGCGGGGCAGGAGATACATATGGCAGGGGTACAGCTAGCCCATAAGACCTTTGTGCAAATTGGAAAGAGACAGCTTCCTCCTGTCTCGTTGGCCAG